TGGTAAACTGTGGTTAATGTCATGAGACAAAGTGTATGTGAACTGCTGTATGGAAAGTGAATTTGCTCTGTAAATCTTCACCCAAATCACAATTAAAAAAAAAAAGAGCTTACTGAGGAAGCACATCAGAGTCCCATAAGTAGAGGAAGAGGGATGTGCAGTCTTACAGATATCTGATATTTGACTTCCTCTTCCTTCCTTAAGAATCACAAATTCAGGAATTTTGTGAATGAGGGAACAAGAAGGGTAAAACTCCACTGAAAGGTGCAATTAGTTGAAGAATTGCTAGTAGAGAACAGAAAGCCCACCAATTTTCTTCTTCCCACTCTCTTGCAAACTCCTCAGGTAGATGAGAATGATTGTTCCATGGCTCCTGGCTATTAAAGTCAAAGTCTGGAGTTTCTTACCTAGTCGTTTCTTTGGATCCTCTTCTGAAGAAGGCTTCCGAAGACTTACTATTCTTTCGGGCTCTTCCTCTACTTGGACTGGACTAGCACATCTTGCACCCCCAACGGGGATGGTATGGCCGTTCTTTAGCATGGCATGGCTCAACTTCCCTGGATCCTCATCACCTGCAAGGCCCAAAAGAAAAGAATAAATGGAAGGAACTGGTCTAATCATATAGGGAGAAAAGCTGGTGCTGTTTAACTTCTTTCATTCCCTTCACCTCCCTTCTGATATTAGCTTATTATTTACATCTAGATTATTTCCATTTTTATATTCTAGTATTTCCTCTTTCCAATAAACATTTGATTGCTTATTATGTGCCAGGTGTCTGCTATATGCTAAGAAACCTAGATGAATAAGATAGATTTATAATACACAAGTAATTACAATGCTAAATGGCTATAAGAAAGAGCTACAACATGTAGAGTTCTGTGGAAAGAACGAAGAAGCAATTCTTCTAGGGGTGAGAGAAAGTTAGAAAAACTTCACAGAAATTGCATCTGAACTGGGTCTTGAATAATGAGTAGGAGTCCATCATATTGATAACAAGATGAGGAAAGATAGTCTAAGAAGATATGTAAAGTATGAAATCATCTGACATATTTGGGGATTGGTAATTGGTTTATTCTGGCAGAAGAACAGTGTGCACATAAGAAATGATCATGGGTGGGGCTGGAAAGGCAGGGCAGAGGCCAGGCTATAAAGCATACTAAACACTACATTCAGTTCAGAAGCCTGGACTGAACCGTGTAAGTAACAGGAAGCCATCAAAAGTTTAGAAGTAGGAGAGAGGTATGATCTGATTTATCTGCTGGGAAGGTTAACCCTGAGAGGCAGGAGGAGGATGGATTATAGAGGGGCAGAGACTAAAGTAGGAAAACCAATTCTGAGCTGATTTTAGAATCGAGGTGAGAGACAGCACAGGCTGCCCCATGATATACAGCCCGAATCCCTACACACTATAAACTGCAGGTTAATCACGGTGCTGGAGGTTTTGGGAGGACATGCACTGACCACTCATGACCATGGAAACGGTTGGTGAGATTTTTTCATGGAGACACTAGATAAACTTTTCCAGTTACTGCTGAGGTTTCCTAGACTCTTGGAGAAAAGAACTAAAAAATTAAGGCTAGGGACAAAAAACCTTTTTTCACCTCTCAGTGTCATGGAAACTAGAACTAGCTTGCTCTCTAACTAGTATCATTTTTTTGCTTTCCATAGTCAGATCCTTTGTATAATATCATTCTGGTGTCCTTTGAGTTAGTCCCTGAAGTCTCACAGACCAGCGCCTCTTATCCCAATCCACCATAAATCTCTTGACCCAAATGCTTTTCTTCTTTCTACTAGGAGACTGTCGTATTCTGTTGTCCAGTCAATTCTGACTTACAGAGCCCCTACAGAACAAAGGAAAAGTGCCCTGTAGGGTTCCTAGGCTGTAATCTTTACGGAAGTGGATTGACAAGTCTTTTGGAACCTCCAACCTTTTAGTTAGCAGCCTAGCACTTGACTGTTTGTGCCACCAGGGCCTGTTACTAGGAGATTAGACAGTATCATTCTTTATGGAGAGGTGGAGCTTAAGCTAGAAGCAGTAGAATCTAAGCACAGGAGTGCTACATGAAAATGTACTTCTAAAGCTAAAGTATTCTGACAACTACTTTCTTATTTTAAAAAGCAGAAGGGCAGGATGACAGTTACGCAAGAGTAGTAAGTTAATGGTTATGTTAATATAGCCCAGCTTTAACAAAAACAGGACTTTCTAGACTATAAAGGAATGAATGGTTTCAAAGTGAACAAAGACTGTTACTTTTGATGACCAACTAGTGTTAGTTAAGACACATTATTAATCAGTTTCTACTCAGGACACACTGTAAAATATATATAAAAGTGATCAGTTATATCTCAAGTTACTTATTCAGGAATGTCTACTTTGATATATCATTTCTAATGCAAACCACAATGCAAATGGTGTCTGCAATGCAAACAGTGGAGAAGTGTGTCTGGTTTCCATACCTATCCATGCCCCCAAACACCTCAGAAAAGCCATTAAATGTTTTATAATGTAGTCAAGTTAGAACCCTAATCAAGCCAAATGCCATCTTTGAGTATGAACAGGAATCAAACACTGCTTTTGGCCAAAAATGAAGATACATAAGCCAGGCCTCCAGAGCTTATCCCTTAATGTATAAAAAAGTTTAGGTCAATTCTCTGGTTGCCAGAATGGCATCCCATCCAACGGTTGCAGCTCATTTATCAATGAGGCCTTTGAGCTTCACAGACTAAAAACAACTTGAATCAAGAGCAGGACAGAAGAGACTGAACAAAGGTGAAAAACAAAAAAGCAGTAACCTGTGGGGTTTGTGATAATGAACAAGGAATGTGAAAGACAGGAGAGGGCATGGAGAGGAATGGCTACATCAAAAAAGCAAAACTAGTGGTAGCACAGTGCCTAAGGCACTTGACTGCTAACCAGAAGGCTGGTGGTTCAAACCCACCAGCTATTCCTAGGAAGGAAGGTTGGGCAATCTACTTCCATGGAGATAATGCCTCAGAAACCCAAGGAAGGGTTGCTATGAGTTGAATCGACTCTACAGCAGTGAGTTTGGTTTTTGAAGTGGTTGAAATGTTTTCTTACATATATTTTACCACCATTTATAGAAAAAAAAAAAAATAAGGGCCAAAAGTGCTGCTGTGGAGGCATTATAATTGTAGGTAACTATCTAAATACCTGGATTTCATGACCTACTGTAAAAAGGAGTCATGCATATCTGATATTACAGAAACAATTATAACCTATATTAAAAGAATTGCCTTGATAAATCCTGGAACAACCGAAGCCTTTCATTACTTTATATCCTGAAAAAGGCTATATTTGACTTCCTTCTGACATTTCCAGAGTTTTTTTTTTACCTCAAGTGCAATGTACATTTTGATCATTAAAAAGTTACACAAAAACAAAAGTAAAATATGCTCATAACTAATCCTGTAGAAAAATATAAAGAAACCCGCAGCTGCATCCCTATCTCATCCTCCAGAGCAACTGATACTGAGAACATTTAGTGCCTTCCCTTCAAGCTTTTTTACTCTGCTTAGTTTACTCGTGATAGCAAATCTTTGGTATAATATTTAATTTAATATTGTGAACAGGCATTGCATCCACATGGTTCAAAACCCAAAAGCTTTCATATTCCATCTGTTCGCTTTCCTTTGCCCATCTTCCAAAAGAGAACGAAGTGAAATGAAATGTAATCACTATCTTACTTTTATGATAAACCACTTCATATAAATCACATAGTGGAGAAAGTTTTGAAAATATTAAATCAGCAACGAGGGTTGAAATAGCAAAACATGATCTTTACGATAGATAAAAGATTAGAGCAGCAATATGAATACAAGGTTGGTTTTAAAAAAACCAGTAAATACGGAAATAGCACACAGTGCTGCAGCTGGCATGAAGCTAAGGACGCAGAGAGAGACAGGGATGTCTGCCCTGGGACCTTTCACCAAGCGCTCAATTTCACAGAAGACCAGGGCCAGAAAGGTGGATGGACGCTTGGAGGGAAGGGTGCACAGCAGTTTTTAAAAAAACAAAACAAAAATGACACCACCAGAGCCTAACCCACAACAGCATCAACAACCTATGCCACAACACAGCAACAACAGCAACAAAAAGGGAGTGGTGGTGGAAGAAGATACGAAACCTAATGAGAACTGACTGAAGACCAAGCGAAGACCAAGCGCACAGAGACAGGCATATACCATTCATTTGCAAACTCACCCTGCTCAGGGTCTTCCAACAGAACCCCTCTCTTAATCAGCTCTTCTCTCGGTTTTCGCATAGATATCTTTCGCTCTAAAACTAACATTAAATTGGAAAATAGCAACTCAGAAATGTGGCAGTTAAAGGTCAACTTTACTCTTAACATTCTAACTGCACAAGTAAAAGAATAAAGTGGTTCCAATTTCTATTCTTAGGACAGAAAAGAACAGGGAAACAAATTTATTTCCAAAAGGGACTCTTCATGTTTAATTGTAAGCCTTTTTTAAAAAATTTAAATTTCAGTCAGTTATCTATGAATGAACTGTATGTGTGGGTGGGAAGTGGGCAGAGATGGAAAAAACCAGCATCTTCGATTTGCTACAGTTTAATCAGGAACTCCATCCATCACTCCACAGATCCCATCCAAACACCAGCCTGGGAATGAGGCTTCACTATATACAAGGCTTAGTGAGGGGCCACTTGGTTGTTCAATTTTGAATGATTAATTCCGTCTTTAAATTGGGGGTTACAGAAGCTTGGGAAAAGAATGAAAAAGTCAGATCCTTAAACAGAGAACTCTTTAACTCAGAACATATTTAAATCTTAATATTTTACCTTCTGATGTCTCTTTAAATTTATCACTACTTTTTTTTTTCCGCCACTTCCACGGTTTGAAGATCTTGCCAAAGCCTGAGAATTTGCTCTTCCTTTTGGTGGGAGGCGTTGTGTCTCCTGCTTCCACACTGTCCAAGACCATGCCAGGGTCTGCAGTGAGCCGGCCTGCTTCTTCTGTTGCATAGTGAGAAGGAGAGAGGGAAGAGAAGAGCAATTTATTATTTCAGCAACATCTCTGAAATGTCCCTTCCCCCTCTCTTCCTGTGGTGGTTGGAAAGGATCAGAGCAATGATAAACAATCATGCAGACAGTCAGACTCCTTGACATCACATGGACACCAAACATCAATATCCCTAACAGATAAATTACCAAAGAGGAAAAGGAACCAAACCAAACTGATATAATTTTGGAATAAAAATTCAGTGAGACGATTAGAACCAGCTCGAAATCTTTTAAAGGCCCTCTCACAAGAGAGTGGGTGTGTTCCTAATCTGCATGAGATCTCACCTCAGTGTAGCCTGGCCTATTTCTGTCACCATTCTCATTCTCTGAGCATGGAGGAAGGCCCTTCCCTCCAATCTCCTGTGTCACTGAAGCAGGGAATTCTGCCTTTACTGAGTGAGTCACTGTTCTGTTAAACAGTGCCCTCTGCCTGCCCCTCCTTCTTTCAGTATATAAACAGTTCCGGGAAGGGTAGCACATTAAGTGTTAACGCATTACTTACTCTGTTCATTAGATTATTTCCTTCCTTCATAAAAGGGACACTAGGTAGTTTTGGGCACTGGAATGTGCTTGCAGTAGGAAGCTGAAACGTTTTAAAATGGAGAGATATTTTTGCAGAAAGTAGAGGTGAGATTCCAAAATTTGCCAATCAAGTATTGTATTAGGGATAATCCTGATTTTATGAATGTGACAAAAAAACATAGCTGACACAATAAACTTGGAGATTGAAATGAAAGGCCATGAGCCCCTCATTATGATCCACATGCAGGGCTTAGTTAGTTAGCTTTAATAGCAGAGAAAGGAGCAGCCAAGGCTGGGTGAAGATAAGGGTAAAAAAAAAAAAAAAAAAAAAGGCAGGAAGGCAACAAAAAAAAAAGCAGGAAGGCAACACAATATAGTTTTGCACTCCACCTACTGTACCAGGGTTTTCTGGAGAAGTCTAGAGGGGAAGAAAAAAAGAGTCATGTGGAGTAACAGTCCTGGAATTAAAGTGGGACCTCTATTTTATAGAAATATATCAAGAAACATACTGTATTACAGCATGTGATAAGTTAACATATTTACTATAAACAATTTCACATCTGAAGCAAACAATACTTTTTGGGACAGATAAAAGAGCAGCAAAATACATACACTAAAAAAAGATCAACTCTCTTCTTTCAATACTGTAGATATTTTTCATAAAAGAAAATATACAATTGACAAACACTGATTTTTTTAGGAATAGTTATCAAATTCATTATTTTTTTAGATAGGAGTCTAAGGGAGTCTGATGAGAGTCAGATTTACACAACTCATAATCAGAGTGATTACAGCAATGACTGCTGATGCATTCGTTTGTTGTGTCCACAAGACTTAGGCAAAATGGGGTCCTGGTTACTAAAGTCCAACACATTGAGACAGAGAACGGTGACTCTTCATCCTCACTGCATCACTTACTTGAGGGCATACCCTACCTGGGTCTCAACTATTTTGCTTCTTTTAAATGAAATGCTCTAGAATCTGATTATACCATTGAGGCACACTGAAAAAATATTTTTTTGCCAGAGACATTAGAAGAAGCCCTGTCATAACAGTTTCCCTCAATGGTACCTTGGGACAGGCCCCAAGAGTAGCACTAGGTTGACTATGATAGTTTTGCTTTTAAGAGTCACTGCTTTAATTAAGCCAGTATTTTCCTGATTATGAAATGTCATTAGGAACTAAAGACATTTCTAAGCATTTATATTATAATATTTAACATAGGTTAATGATAATGCTTTCAAAGACATAGGCAAGCTCAGAAATGCAATCACACAGCAAGCTGTTCATTCTCAGATAGTAACCTTACTTGCAGAGGCAAGGAAGGATCAAAACTTTAAATCTGCTAATCTACCATTGAGTGAACTTCACTCAGTTCCAAAAGAAACATAGGAAAATGCCTGTTTGGTTAAAAGTAATAAGGAAAATAATATTGAAATTAAAAAAATGCAGACTAATAATATGGAAGAAGAGGTTACTAGTGCTATATACTTTTCCAAAGAAAAATGACCAATAAGCTTAGAAATGTGAGAAGGTGGCATATTCACAAAGAAGTTCCTATCTTTAAAGTCCTTAAATTAAGAGTCAATTCAGCCCATTTCCACCTATCTTCTGGGCTATCTGATCAATTCTAAAGTAGAACTTATTCCACCATCTTTCAGTTCTTCATTATACTTAAGTTTAAACAGTACTTCTTATTTATATGTCACCTTTCTCTTACAGATTCAAAACAGCATCATGCTATTCTTTCAAACATATTTATGGCTGCCAGCATAGGTGCTCAAAACAGATGTGTTTTCAAAGTGCTGTGTACATAGAAAATATCAACAGCTTATAAAACTAATTACTGCATCCATAGCCAGTCACATCTAGTACTTAGTTCTCCTTTCTTTATGTAGAAAATTCTAGTCACTGACTACAAAAAGCAAAGAGAGCAGCAGGTTTTTTTTTTTTTTTTTGCTGCTCCATGCAAATATGTGTAATTTTTATGTTTACAACTTTTAGAAATGGATATGCCTCTTGCCTCATGCAGTGAGATTCAGTGCCAAGCCCTGCCCTAGTTATCATCCCAAATTCATTCATCCAGTCTCTCTCTATTCCTTCTGTAACATATTCATATGTATGCATATGTCACATCTCTTAGGAAATAGAACATTATTTCAGTGACACCCAAATTTAATATTTGGATTCAGGCCAATTGCTTTTTCAAAATAAATAGTCTCCAAGAGGTAAGATACAAATGTATTTTCAAAAGTTTCCAAGTAATTCTTATGATCAACCAAGCTTGTTACATCCAGCTGTAGATTATTATCTGGAAATGTCATGTATGTGAAAATAGACAGAGGCAGACCATCTCTGGCTGTAAACTGCTTCTGGTTTAAGAGTAACAAACTACAAAATTGTGTTATCATTCTAGTATTTTCTGTGCAACAAGGCAGAATTGTGAGGATCTTGTGTTTCCTTGGGAGCTCAGGTGGCACAGTGCTTAAGGCATCTGACTGCTAACTAAAAGGCTGGAGGTTCAACCCCCCAACCACTCCCCAGAAGGAAGGTTGGGCAATCTACTTCCATAGTGATACCACCTAGCAAACCCAAGGAGGTGTCGCTATGAGTCAGATCCGACTTGACGGCAGTGCATTGCGTTTGTTGTTGCGTTTGTATTTCCTTGTCTCAGCTGTAGTTCAAACAAAAACCAAACTCACTGCAGTGAAGTTGGTCCCAACTCATAGCGACCCCTCCTTGAGTTTCTGAGGCAGTAACTCTACTATAGGTTGCCCAGTCTTCCTTCTGAGGAGTGGCTGGTGGGTCTGAACTGCCAGCCTTCTGGTTAGCAGTCAGATGCCTTAGGCACTACATCACCAGAGCTCTCAAGCAACAAAAGAAGTGCAGTTTTTGGTTCCAGATTTGTATTATCTTCCATGTGCAGAGTTCCTGGATGGCACAGTTAAGCACTCAACTACTAGTCAAAAGGATGGTGGTTCAAATCCATCCAGAAGCACTTTGGAAGACAGGCCTGGCAATCTGCTTCCATAAAGTCACAGCCTTGAAAAGAAAGCCCTATTGACAGTTCTATTCTCTGATTCCTTGGCAACCAACAAAAATAAGAACATGTTCTATGTGCAGCTGAAGAGAAAGTGCACTTTGCAGTTGCTGGGTGTAGCGTTTATATATGCCAACTAGGTCAATTTGATTAATTGTGTGGTATAAATCATTAGCATCCTTTGTGATGTGTTGGAGGCCTGTTCTATCAGTTATTGAGAGAGGTATGTTAACATCTCCTACAATAAAAGTGGATTTGTCTCTATCCTTTTAGTTTTCTTTATTTTTGCTTTATATACTTTGAAGCTGTTACTTCTTGTTGTTGTTGTTGTTATGTGCCGTCGAGTCGGCCCCAACTCATAGCGACCCCTCCTTGGGTTTCCGAGGCAGTATCACTACGGAAGTAGGATTGTCCAACCTTCCTGTTACTAGGTACATACAAATGCAGGGTTATTGTCTCTTCCAGTTGAACTGACCCTTTTAACATAAAATTTCCCCTAACGCTCTAGTTGCAACTCTTTTGCCTGAATGTTTTTCTATTCATCTTGATAATCACTAACTTGAAAAAAAAATTTATTGTGGTGAAAGTATACATAAAAAAACATAAGCTCTGAACAATTTCTCCATGTAAAATTTAGTAGATAATCACTGACCCTTAATTGGAGTGCTTAGTCCATTTACGTTTCGTATTGTTACTGACATAGTTGGGGTTAAGTCTACCATCTTGCTATACCCACTCCTCACTTATTGACATGATTAGGTTGCAAAGGCCAAAGCGTTATGTGAAATCAGTGTTACCTGAGAGTAGGGGGCTATGCCCAGTCTTTGGTGCCAGTGTAACCACATTCCAGTCAATTACTGCCTATCAGTTGCCCCCGGCATGTCTCAGGATGTGCACGGTGCAGTGAATCCCCCTTCCCCACCACTGTGGAGCCCTTGGTGGTTGGGAGTGGTGGTGGCTGGGTGTTGCCACTGCCTCCCATTCATCCTCCATCCGCCTTGGCCCTACAGTCCGGAGGAGCCCCATTCCCACTCCTCCCTTTCCTACCTTCCCCTACCAACTTCCTTGGTACCTTTGGGCCCTTGCCTAGCCTCCCCCAGCCCTCCCCCAAACTTGTGTCTTCTCGTTGTTGCCTCATGCCTCCACTGTAGAACAGAAATGAAAATGTCAAGGATGAATGGGAGAAGGTTTCCTGCGGCCAGCTGGCCAGTGCCTCATGTGGCCCAGTCACTGCTGGGGTATCCAGTGCATCATCCGATGTGGCCCATGGAGGGTGTTCCAGGCCCAGCTATGGCCCTGCATGGGGCCCAGACCATTGAAAGTGCTGCCTGAGAATTTTTTCAGAGTTGCTGTAAATGCAAACCACCAGATAACTGAGAGTCAAT